CGTACAGCCTGCCCTACTGCCCCCTGATCATGCGGGTGGCCTCCTCTGGACCCTCTCCATGCTGTCCACATCCCTCCTGAAGTGCAGTGCCCAGACCTGGACGCAGTATTCCAACTGCGGCCTGACCAGTGTCACATAGAGGGGAAGGATCACCTCCTTGGACCTGCTCGAGATGCATCTGTGGATGCAGGACAAGGTGTGGTTGCCCTTCCTGACCACGTCCCCACACTGTCGGCCCATGTTCATTTTGGCATCAATAATGACTCCAAGAACTCCAAGATGTTACAAGAAATAATGGCCACAAGCTAGCAGAGAGCAGATTTAGACTGGACATTAGGAAGAACTTCTTCACAGTTCGACCTGCTTATGCAGGGGTCGGACTCGATGATCTATTGAGGTCCCTTCCGACCCTAACATCTATGAATCCTTTTCTGCCTCTGCGCTGACAAGAAGGGAGTTCCCCAGCCTGTAGGTTTGCTGCTGGTTCTTCCTCCCCAGGTGCAGCACCTTGCACTTGTCAGTGTTGAATCCCATCCTGTTCTCATCCGCCCACCCCTCTAACCTGTCTAAGTCTGATTGCAGCCTATTCCTCCCTTCTAGCGTGCCCACTTCCCCCAACATCTTAGTGCCATCTGTGAATTTGAACAAGGTGCTTTTTACGCCCCTGTCCAAATCATTGATGCAGACGTTGAACAGTGCGGGCCCGAGAACCGAGCCCTGGGGTACCCCACTGCCCACAGCCCTCCAGGTTGAATAAGACCCATCTACCACCACCCTCTGGGTGTGGCCCTCCAGCCAGTTAGCAACCCATCTGACCGTGTAGGTGTCAACGCCACAGTCCCCTAGTTTTTTAATGAGAATGGGGTGAGAGACAGTGTCGAAGGCCTTCCTAAAGTCCAGAAAGGCTATATCCACCGTGACACCTGCGTCCAAGGATTTTGTGACCTGGTCATAGAAGGCCACTGGGTTGGTCTGACAGGACCTGCCTCGAATGAACCCACGTTGGTTGCCCCTAAGCATAATCTCCCTGCCAGCCCCTTGCGGACATGCGCCAAGATAACTCTCTCAAAAAGCTTACCCAGGACCGAGGTAAGACTAACTGGCCGATAGTTTCCTGGGTCCTCCTTCCTCCCTTTTTTTTTGAACAGTTCCCAATCACTACTCACATTTGTCTAAGTTCTCTCTCTCAACTCTCTTGTAACTGTTTTCAGCTTTTGCGAGACTGACTCTTTGAAGCATGAAATACACATTATTACTTAAGGTTTTATTCTATTTCATAAAAACAAATATCAATGACGACATCATTACTTGCATCTAATCTACCACTGATTTTTTGTTCCATGCTCAGCTCCTCTTTACCTGTCTGGATGAAGTTTAATAGAGGCTTCCCATACACTGGATATACCACAGGAATTAGGAAGTGATCATCTATAACACTCAAGCCTCTAAGAGCATTTCACTACAGGCAGCAGAAAACCGCGCTACTTGGATTGTAATCAGCTATAATAAGGCAATATTCTCCTCCCTTCCCTCCCCAAAGAAGATAATTGTGGTGTTGCCAGCCTTGGCCTAGGCCAAGCTACAGAAGTGTGGCCAACCAGAAGGCCCTAACATCTGTTTCTGAGACCATAGTGTGAACCTTTGCAGATGGGACAATTAGCTTCATCAGCAAGGTAAAGGAAGCCATCCACATGTCTAAGTAAACCAGGAATGAGATGAACTTAAACAAAGCACGAGGCCTGTAAAGAGACATTATAAGGGAAGACCATACATTAAACAATCTAAATATGCTATATGATAGCTTTATCTTAAACGAGCGGTAGTACTGATTGATGTAACCAAATGTAATAGATGTTATTTTGCTGTAATTGCTATATTTTTGTTAAGATGCTTAGGTCACATGTAAAAACAAAACAGCCTCGTCAGAAAAGACCATACACTAAGGTAAGGAAGAAACAGGACAGTCCTGAACAGCACTGCACAACGGGGAAGGAAAGGAGATAAGAAATTCTCCCTTTTACTTTCCCAAGGATAGAGATCCCAATTAACTGACACCTTCCATTTGCACAAGAGATCTGTTTTAGTCCAGCTCCAATAGTTTCAGTGAAACAAAGACATTTAAATAAAACCAAGCAGAAGCCATTTATTTAAATATCAGAACCAGCCACCTACGTATATGGGGACTCGGTCGGAGGGAAATTTGGAAAAACTCAACAAATTCAGCCAACCTGCAGGCCACCCTCCTCCAATCTCAAGTGTGCCCAGCCGGTAGAAGTGAGAATCTATGCTGTGCTATCAAGGGGAGCCAGATGGACTTTGGAATAAATGCTTGTTTTTGTGTTTTGAAGTGCAAGAGAATAAAAGATATGGGCTATAGACCTGTTTCTGCTTTTTTTTTGTTTTTTTAATCAGTAGCCAACCCACAAAGTTAGCTCTGATCTGGATAACTGTGGGTAAAGAAACCTGGCCATCATATAGCAACCTCCAGCTAATACTGCAATGATTGGGAACTTTGCAGGGTAGCACGGTTCTGGAGCCTCACTAATCAGAGTGGTAGAGGCAGCAAAAACAAACTACTTGCAAGACAGGGCTCCATAAATTCATTAAAAAAAGATAATAACACAAGGCTTGTGACAGAAGGGAAACTGACTCCATGACCAAGAAGGTCCCATCCAATTCTAACACTAGGTTCTCATGCTTTATCAGTAGGATACTGGATCCATAAGCATCCTAAACCATTAGATTCAGATCTCTCAAGGTGTCTACATCGCTATTAAAAGGTCAAACCTTATGTCACCTTCAACCAGCCTGACCCATCAACCACATCTCTCAGCCTCTCACATACCTCACAGCCCACACTAAAGCTACCCAACTAAGTGCTGTTGTGACAGAGTGCCCTCTAAATTTAAGGGATGCAGGTTGTAACCGTGTTGGTCTACAGGCAAAAGCAATCTGAACTCTTGGTAGAGGTGATAGAATTTTTTTGCAACTATCTAGCTGGTCTAATAAAAGATCTCACCTGCACCAAGAGTTCTGCTTGCTTCTAAACTGAAGTCTGTAAACCTGTCTCTCCTTTTAGGAATGCAATGCAAAAGCGCCAGAAATCCAGAACAGGGAATTACAACACTATGGGTCATAAAATGCCTCTGCTCAAGACCTGCTCACCCACGTACGTTCCAAACAGAGGAAGACGGGATACAGCTAGATGGATGTCGTATGCTGAACTTCAGCAGCACTGTCATGGTCAGACTTGAGCGCTGCCAGGAGTTCAGCTAACTGGTTTACAGTACAATTAGTAAGCTAATGAGCTTCCTGTGAACCTTAAAAGTTGACCCTAACTATTGGTGTTGACATAGCTTCAGATATAGAAACAAGCAGAAACAGGTTTTGCAGTAATGCTCCCTCATCCCTTTTGCTGATTCTTTTTCACTAGTGCTGAAAGATTATAATCAATTATTTTAACACTCTCATCATGCACATCTTGCCACCACATAACAGCAAGAAGAACGATGGCATTTATGCTCAAAAATGAACAAATTCCAATACCTCCAAGAGGCGAGACAAGCCAACCAGTGCAACACATCTTTCTAAAGAAGTTGGACAGATGGTCAACAAAACCAAAATACCCTCTGACCATACACCACTTCACTAGCAGTTCACTTTCATCTTCTGCTTTCCCTCACCCAATGGGGTGCGAAGGATGTACCAGATCTCCTGGACAAACTTCTTCTTCACAGAAGTTATCTACAATCTACGATGCAATATCATTACTGCTGAAATCACTAATCCCAGAGGGTTGCCTGCACATCTTCATACCCTTATCCAGTCAAGAGTTGTCTCTTGTGCCTTGGCTCCAGGAAGACAGTTAAAATGTCCAGTTGGCCACCTGCACCTCCCAGAACATTTTCTCCATTCTTCTTGGAGGATTCACAAAGAGGATCGCACTACTTCCTTGAATGCTTGGGGATCTCTGTGCATATGCTTGATTTTCTTGTCATCTGGGCTGAGCAGCCATTCACAGACATGTCCTGTACATTTCCGTTCCATTGGGGTAACTGGATCTACAGGGATATCTTCCACAATCTCCATGTGGAAGACCTTGCAAAGACTGGAAAACACTTTTAGTCATGTTGAATTCCTCTTCAACGTCCTCTACGGGTGACCTCCTGTAGGCTTTCATCTGCTGCCAGTAGTACAGACTGCTGCCTTACACTCTTACTATCACCGACTGCCGAGACTTCTCTTTGATTTCATTCAGTTCACTGGTGGCCAATATCCTTTCTTCCTTGAACTCAGGGTGGGACCTGCTTTTCAAATCTGGCTGCACCAGAATTCCTCAGCTTCTCATAGGTTCCCCATAGTGTCTATATTTGCTCTTCCAATCCAATCTCTCAGTACAACCAACAACTTGCACTTCATACACAGGAAGTCTCTTGTGGCTTCAGGCAGGAAATAAAGTATCAATCTTCAAGTCATTAACAATGACCCCTCATTGGCTACCAAAGTACTGAGCTTAGATTTGCGCCCTCGATGGAAAACCTCTCACGCTCTCCCCCAGGCTCCATTCCCTGTTGATTTATTGTGGTCGGTTGCTTGGTGAATGCATGACCCTGAGTCTTGTTTCCCATCTCCATCCTCTTGCCAGTAAAAAGTAATTAACCACTCAGAGACTTCAAACAGATTCTCAAATTTCATATCATTGCCAGCACCCATTAGGAAGGATTTCCCTGGTCATCAATGGGAAACGCCCTTTAATTTCAAGTGACCGAATTTGCAATATGGAAAGCTTGTAGTAGTCCTATCTTACAAATCTAACAGCTTCTATGTATACGCAGTTTGAGGATACCAGAACAACTAAAACACAGCAGCAGCTTATTGCAAGCAAGACATCCTCGGGGAAAAGTGCTAAAAATGCTCATGAGCTGAAATGGTTTGTGTTGGTTAGAGCAATTTAGAGATGATAATTCGTTTAATGTAAGCCATTTAGTTTATTTGCTTACCATTGGCAGCCTGGATTGTAGCATCTGGAGATCATCATAACCATAAATCTGCTTAAAGACAGATAAAAAAAAAAAACAACAACATTATAACACTCTTCTCTAGTATTGGCTAATTTGTGGTTTTTAAATTAAGATAAACCAGGTCTGAGTTAACCTACAAAGGCCAAAGATTATAGCAGATGTGTAGTAGCAATGCCAAGGGCCAGTACAGTTAAGGTCTGGTTGGCATGTCATGCCTAAAGCCTGATTTTCCAGTGACACCAGTGTTTTGAAGTTTGCACTCGACTAAAACACTCTTCAGTACCAGTCTCCCAGGTACAGCTAACTGGTAATTGTCCAAATCATACAGCATTCAGTGTTTGGAGTAAATCACCACCTCTTGAAATGGCATCATTTACAGTTACTACTCCCCAGGGTACGGCACTCCAAGCCTCAGTGAAAAGACCCTGAGAATCTGCAAGCTACTGTCTGTTCACTTGTGAATTAGACTAAAGAACGACCATCCCCTCATCATATGCAGGAAGGTGCAGAAGGAAGAAACCTGGCATTTGGATAGAGTTTCCAGCCTCGGAGACTAAAAAGGTAGGCGACTAAACTGTGACAGTCAGACATCGCCAAGCCAGGCACAGTCCTTTAAGATATGAATGACCGAATCCACAGCCAGTGTCAAGCACTGCTACATTATCTAGCTCAAAGTCAGACACTTTATCCAAATGATCTTATTTT